GGCCCTCTGGTTTGAACCCTTTTTTGGGGAAATGTGGTTTGGAAGAGTGATTTTTTGGAGAATGTGGTTAAAAAATATGGAAAAATTTTAGGTTTACTTGTAAATTGTTTTATAGAAAAATATGGTTGAAAATAAGTTTTGAAAAAATGATATTTAGAAAAACTGGGGCCCAATGATTCGCAATTTCACCATCCCAGCATAATAATTCTAGAAGGGCTTGAACAAGAGCCGGCAAAAACTTCAGTCCCATTTATGTGTCCTTTAAGCCTTTACAAAACATAATACTTAATTCCCTTGTAACTACAGCAGATTTTCGGTGGGTCCTCAAATCCTGTAAGCAGCCGCTGTTTGACAACCATATCCGAAATACTCTTTTTTGTATATACTCATTTTCAACTGCAAAATCATACAATAAAATATTTTGCATGTAAATCAAAAGTCTTCCCTATTTCTTAACCATGCATTCTCAGAAAATTTACCATTCAAAACTTTGTTTATGGGTTTTACAGACTATCAAACAAAGGTTAAAATTTAGTAGTCATGTGAAATGAACCTGATTGTAGATTTTGTGCCATAAAGACCCTTAGGCCCCGTCTTAATCGTGTCTTGGAGCATGTGCAACTAAATAATCTTTGATACTATCAAATTGATAGCGTCTTGACGTTGAAATTTGTTTGATACACATGACCCGCAACAAGACAAATGAATACAGTAATTAAATGATGATGAACAGTTTTAATCAGCCGTAAGTAGTGTTTGTGGATGGAATTCCCTAGAGGTGTGGAAGGTTCCAAATAAATACTAACTTGGATAAGGATCGTGTATACATGCCGAGTTTTCACACAAAAGGTTGGCAAACTTTGCATACAGGGATATTTTTTAACAATCGTGTGATAGCCAAGAGATCCAAAATCTGACCTGTGAGAAGAGCATGTTCAATGTACTTATGAAGTTAGGCATTTCATGAGCGATATGTAGCTTAAAAGTAGTCGTTACAACTTAAGACCTTGAGAACAAGGTTTGGAACGACCTATTTTCAGCTGAGTGATTCTAACCAATCTTTTTATTGAAAGTAGCCATCTCCCAATGGTCTTGTCCCTAAGAGGAAGACCCACAGAAAAACTTCTTAAAACTTGGGATCTGAATGGAAGGTGTCCAACATTTACCTAAACCTAGAAGCCATGTCTTCATTTGTTATAGTTGAGTTATTGAACTTCTATTTGAATTAACATTTTACCTTCAAATAAACGTGAATTTTTAAATAATTATGATTCAAAAAGGAGATCAATGAACACTTTGAGTTGCATGTTGAAATATACTTCATTTTTGGCATTGCTGATTAATTCATACTTAGCACTGTACATGTCCACATGGATTACCCCAGCTTCGGGAAGGCCTGACCTTAGCTTCTCAATCTCACCCTTGAGGTGTTTGCTGAAATGCCAAGCCATATCATTCTGGCTTTTGACACAACCATGCTCGTTAAGATACTTGCACGAAGGATCTTAGACTTTAACCCTGTTTACCCACAAACATCAACTTGTATTACGTAACCAAAATGTCCTTGCTCCTCTCTTAAATTTATAAGAGTAGTAATTATGAGTGCTTACGATGGTCTGACTTGAAGTTTGAATTTAAGTAAATAACGTGTTCACCTTTAGCAACTTGGACTTTTAGAAAAGATAGTTAAGTGTGACAGATGAAGATCATGAATTCAAGTTTAGTTGTCATCCGTTTATAAAAATTGTTTATGCATGTATATTAGGTCATTGGTGGGAAAAAAAATGAAAATGGTAAGCGGTGTGTTAAAAGACTGAATTAATGTAAGGGAAATTTGTATGTTATGTCTCCAACCTTTGCAAACTGTTGGTGATCCACCATCAGCATTCCTTTATCATCAGACATCCTCTGTCTTTCTAAAGTTTAGCAAAACTCGACTTACCATCCATTTAGGCATTTAAAATCACTTAAAATTTTGTACTTGTCCCTCTCTTTAAATAAACGCATAAAAAAGGCAACTAAATGAAAAATAATGAAAAATTATGAAAAAATTATAACAGGAGCCCTGAATCTTTTCAAAAAAAATTACAAAGAGATCACATCAAATATGTAATTGACAAAAAATTAGACAAGAAAGAAATAAAAATGGTCTTCTTTCCCATCAATAATCCCATAAAAATCACCACTGTCCACCTGTAAGCCACCATTGCACATTTTGACCAATTTTAGAAAGGATAGAAGATTAATATTTTTTTTTTCTCTCTCTTTTTTTTTTCTTTTATTTAATTATTATATGTGGAAAGAATATAAATGCTATTTTACCATAAAATATATTTTTTTAGTCAATTAACTGACATCTGGATGGTCGCTACAACAAATGAAAGCTTAGTGCAATAGCTGTAACAAATTGAAAGTTTTGGGATTGCAAATGTAACAAATAAAAGGTTAAGGTAAAAGAAAGGTTTAGGATTGCAGCTCTCTTTTTTATGTTTATTTACAGAGGGGGCAAACTCGTCATTTTATTTTTATTTTAAATTTTGACGACCAAAATGGACAAAAGAACAAGTTTTGTTACATTTGAAAATGTTTAGAATGTCTAGTGCTTAAGAAAAAGTTATGTAGTTAGATCTGTTCGAGTTTGCTTCTCTAAAGAAGATGAGGCTAAAAATGAATGTGTTCACTCAGAATTGTATCTTTAAGCAGAAGAAGTTATCCCTTGTTTGATATAGCTCTTTTTCCACTTCTTCCATTTTTTTTATTTATTTTTTATTTGCTTCGATAACTACCTCGTAGCAACAAAATCTGGTTAACTTCATTGTCACTTGCACATTCATATCGGGGGATATGGTCAGTCAGACCTTAAGCTTCTGCATGTCCCAAGTTGGTCCAATTGCCCACCCCTTGGCTGGTCCATTCTATTGATCATCCTGATGTGGTCCATAGCACGAAGGCAAGGATCCATTGATCGTTGAAAAAAGACCTATGACTAGGTCACGGTCGAAGAGGGTTAAAGAAGCAATGGAATTACTTACTCAAACAACTATAGATGAAAGCAAATCAACAAATTTCACATTGGGCTCGGAGGAAGACACGAAGTGGATCAACTTGATTCAAGCTATGGATGGAGAAACTAACCAACAAAACTATGTGATAGCATAGTTAAAAGGGGCATGCGACCGCATTCCAATGTGCAGCGAAGTCTGGTGGGAAAATTAGTAGTTCTTTGCGACCGCATTGCTTAGTACTATGAGGCCACATAGTACAATTCCGTGACGTGATTTTCCCAATCTCGCGAAATTTTCTAATTATGTTAAAACTCTATTTTTGGTAACTTTGTGATTTTCAGACTTTAATTCCGTATAGACTAGGATTTTATGGGTTCCTCATAAATAGAATTTATTATTCTCATTGTACAAAAACTTTTATCATATATACAATTGAGAGGACAATTTGTGAGCATACCTTTACTTTCAATTTCTGCTCTTCGTTGAACTAATTCCGAACTTATCAAGATTTGTTTCTTGTAGTGTTCAAACAATTCGGATGAGATTCTTGAGTCTTGTCATCACAAGGTCAACATATTATCGACAATTTTATTGGTTCTTTGATTCAATAGTTTTAGATCAAACTCCGAACTTTGATTTTGTAACTTTCTTGGGTTGAATCAATCTTGTGTAGGTTTCATAGCTACCATTTCTACACATGTTTAGATTAGTTGATATCAGAGTTTAGGCTCCAAAAATGAAGGTTATATTGTTTTCCCTTTTTGTTTGAGTCTTTTGTTTTGTTTTGTTTTGTTTCTTCATGTTCTTCATTTTTTATTATTATTATTTTTTATTCTTCGTATTTTGAGTCTTTAATCCATAAAAATACAAAAAAAAATTGAAAAGTTATTTTTGTGCTAATCCAACATCTAAAGCAGTTTCTATTTCTTTTGCCGGTATCGTAGTTGAATTTTTGAGCAAAAAATCGAATTGAAAAATTGCTAACAGTGTATAGAAGTGTATTGATGAGTTTCTCAATTGGGAAATATCATGATGAAGTGATGTGTGATATAGTTCCTATTTATACGTGTAACGCCTCAACCTGTATGGACCAGAACTTCACTCGAACGATTGTGCCTTAGTCTAGATTTAATATTAATATAACAATTTAGTTTAATTAACTATACCCTTTTTTTTTCCTTTTTTTTTGTGGAATACATAATGATTTACTATAAAATTTACTTAAGTATTATATATTTTTATAATTTATTCTAACAACTCAACACAATTTAATATATAAAGGAAACAAATTCAAGAAACTCTTTGGAGCAATTTTCACGCATGTACCATTAACGTTAACATTTTAGACAGAAAATAGAAATATGATGTTTTACTTTTCTTTCTCAAACGAAA